ATTATATTGCCGGATGATTTGACTTTAGAGTCTAGTATCTTAGTCAAAAAAGGTTGTATATATTTTGATAGATCAAGGTTTCATATTGCTGGTTCAAAGGTTAGCTGCTGAGCCAGTAAATATTTCTTTCTTTCCTGGTTTGTGGAAAAGTTATTCGACTTTTTTGTTTAGTTTTCTCACCTAAGAACAATCTAAATGCTTCCCATTACCAGAATTAGCAAGAGATGGCTTTGGAGATATGTTTCTGTTTCTTTTTTTTTTTTTTTGAAAATTAATGAAAGAAAATTGATTCATAATTTGAATCCTAAAGAAATGTTTGGTTCATGTCATGCTTTTAAACAGAATTCCTAAATTTCCAAATCCATGCAAACTGTTGTAAATTTGTTTGAAATAGTGAAATTCTAAAAAATTCCAAATTGCAGCCAGGGTCACACTATAATGTAGTGAAAATAAAGTTCTGAAATTTAAAATTAAAGCACTTTTGCATATCATATGATAAATGATCAAAAAGAAAAAGTTTGAATTATTTTTTATCATCTTAAAAATGAAACAGTCTTAAATTTAATGACTCATTTGAAACTGGTCAATTAGATTTTTTTACACTTTTATAATTGGATTTTTTTATGCAATCAGTTGCTTACATGTTTTTGAAAGAGAGTTTTATTTTGCTAGGTGCTAGAGTAATGAAGTTGAATAAATAACTCATCTGTGATCACAGGGAATTTATAGATTAGTAGGAAGCTATAGTTTTGTAAGTAAATAATTAAAAAATAATCACACACTGAAATAGAAATCTGTACTGCTGAGTCCAGTGGGCTAGTTATGGAGAAATGACCAGGATGAAGACCAAGTCATCAGGAACCATTAACTACTTGACCACCTGCTGCCATTCATTCTCCTGCTTTTGTCAGATTACTCACCTCTTTTTCCTTCAGCTCTTTCTTTTGTATTTTGCTGTTTTGTGAAGAGATTTAAATGTTACTTAGGGATTATTGATTGTTACTTTTGAAAGAGAAAATGCTCGCTCCCAACTTTATTTTTTTTAAGATTTTTTAAATTTATTTTTGAGAGAGAGAGAGAGAGAGTGAGGCATACAGAGCACACACGCTCAAGTGGGGTGGTGGTGGGGAACAGGGAGGAGCAGAGGGAGAGAGACAAGCAGACTTGTTGAGCACTGCGTTCCATCACACAACCACGAGATCATGACTGGAGCAGAAATCAAGTTGGAACATTTAACCTACTGAGCCACCCAGGCGCCCCCCCCCAACTTACTTTAAAGAATAAAAACATTAGGGGTACCTGGGTGGCTCAGTTGGTTAAGCATCTGCCTTTGGCTCAGGTCATGGTCCCAAAGTCCTGGGACAGAGCCCCCCCATTGGGCTCCCTGCTCAGCGGCAGCCTGCTTCTCCCTCACCCTTTACCCCTCCAGCCCCCTCTTGTTCTCTCTCTCTCTCCCTCTCGCTCACTCTCAAATAAATAAATAAATAAATAAATAAATAAATAAAATCTTTAAAAAAAGAATAAAAACATTACAAATGTAATGATTTATTTTGAGGGGAACTGGAGGTTTGCTTAGAAAATATTTAAAATGCAAGTATGATCACTACAATACTATTCTTCATCTACTGTCCGTTAGTCAAAGATCACCACTGAACTCAGTGTAGCAGTCCATTTGCTGTTACAGTTATGTGAAGGGGCACCTGGCTGACTCACTTGGTACAGCATGCGATTCTTGATCTCAGGGTTGTGAGTTTGAGATCTACACATTGGGTATAGAGATTACTTAAAAATAAAATCTTAAAAAAAAACTAAAATGTGAAACTTACATTTGAAAACTCAATGGATTTATATTTGACATTAAAAGAAGTCAGTATAAAGAATCCTATAGATGAAAAGTTTATGATATTAAACAAATATTTAAACCTGTATGTGAAAATTGTTTCCTTAACAAAACATTTGCAGACTCATGATATTTTTTCAATTTTGTAAATCGAACTATTCCATTTGGCTTATCTGTTTCTTGACGATTTATAGAAACACATTTCAGGAACCTAAGGATACCAACTTCTCTGATAATTTTCTACTAAAATATTTCCAAGTAAATTATACTGACATATTAATCCAGGTCCATCCTATCTCTGATTTTGCAGTCCAAAATATTATTTATTAATTTCAGAATTATTATAATCTTTAGTTGAATTTTCTTATCATTCTGCATTTTTATTTAAATCATTCTATTTGATCTCAAAAATGTAACTATAAAAATTATCAAATAAAATCTTGGGAACAATAAAATCATTTGCATTTGCCATAATAAAATTTTCATTTGGGAAGCAAGTAGAGGAGGTAGTGGGTAATACAGAGAAAAATAAGACTGGCCATCACTTGATAATTATTAAATGGGTGTTAAGTACATGCAGATCATGATACTTTCTTCTTTAGTTTTATAGATATTTAAAATTTTTCATAATAAAAAGTTAGTTTCTTTTGTAGTTGGCAGTAATAAAAGACAGAACAATTATTCATAATAAGAATTTATATGGATTTGATGTATTTTCACTCTTCTGCAATTTTTTGATGTGGCCTTAATGCTGTTCATTTATGGTCTCAGAGTTAACTCCTTCCTTAAAGCCTTGTAGTTTTGAAAACTGAAATGTTGTACACAGCAGATATCAAATCTCCTTACCTCTTCATGGGTCCTCAATAGATTTGAGACTGATGTTGGGTGAACGCAAGTTGGCAGACTTGTTGGAAAGCATTTGGTTTTAAACTGTTAATTTTTACTTAAAAGCTTGAGATCAGAGAAAGAGTAGATGGAATTATGAAAGACAAATAATATTTTACTGCTACAGAGTTGGGAATTAGCTTCATTAAAATCATTCTTTGTGGGGGGACGCTGTCTGTAGAATGACCCCTTTAAAATAACACATTTTACCTGGGAACATTATCTAGAATTTATCACTGTGCATTAGTGGATGGGTGGATTTGGGGGAGGTGGAGGGGTGGAGAGCCATGGCATAGCAGAAAAAAGAGTCCATAGAGTATGAGTCCTTAAAACATGCCCACTCAACATGCACACAGCCAAACAGATAATGGGTAGGGTTAATGAAGATGTGACTCTTGAGAGATAAGTCTGTCACCTGTCAGGATACTCAAATGGAAAGTGCTGAATATTCAGGGGCATGATCTGACCACCCATCGCTGAAGGAGAAAGCATCTGACAGAGTAACTGAATGATCAACGGGAGAAGTAATAAGGCCCTAAGAAAGTTCCTCCTAATTCACAGTTGAGTGTTCTGGGTGGTGAGGTAGAATCTTCATTGTGGAGGGATCATTTTAGGAGCCATGATCTAAGAGAACATAAAGAAGAGAGAGAAGATAGGAAAACAGCTGTTAAAATTCTAAGGTACTATACTGACTGCAATTTTAAAATCTTTTTTTTAAAAATCAGGAACTAATTTACAATTCTCCGATACATCGAGATCCTTAAAGAATGAAACACCACCGTAGCAGTCTAGGGTACTTCTGGTGATCTTTTAGACCTATCCTTTCATCCTTTCATTTAATTTCTCATTTACCAATATTTATTAAGTGACTACTAGATGCTAGTCATGTAGGTATAGGGCTAGAGCAATACTGAGAAATACATTAGTTAAAACTTCCAATATCTGTATATAAATCTTGACTAATTATTGAAGCTGTTTGTTCTGGGTGTGACAAAGATAGCACTAGCATATAGCTGGCATGGATTTTTCCTCCAGAAAAAAAAAATAATAAAGAGATCATAGGTAAAATGAAATCAACTTAATTTTGGCAAAAAATATTTTCTCTGAATAATAAATAGGGTAATAATAAAAATCACATGTGAATCAAATAATATTTCTTTTGTAAAAAGTAGAATGAAAAATTGGCATTTTCATAATCCTTGTAATGATATAAATGAATGATTAACTCACCAACAAGAGGTAAGGATGAGTTAGACATAAAATCTCTTTTGTTTGCCTAAAAAACATGGAAATTTTGATTCTTTGCAAATTATTCTGATGCAATCTTATTTTATAACTCTAAAAGTGTAATATTAAATAAGCTGTAATCAACATTTGATGATAATTAAACATAAGATTGAGTATATATGTGTATAAGCTACTACATTTACACATAGCTTAGTGTATGCAGATAATAGGTCCCATATCAATATGTGATGAATGAATGAATAAAGGTGAACATCTATAACAAATGACCAAATCTTCCTTCCCATATTATTAAATGATAATTTAATTATTGAAAGCTTACTGAAGATAATCATGAACCATCATTTAGTGAAATGGGAAATAAGCATTGCTTTTTGAAATCTTTATTTCCCCTTTATTTTTCATGCTAACTAATTAAATAATACATTTAAATATATGTCATCTGTGTTTTTGTGTCCTGTTTCTTTAAAGACAAAATTCTGAAAAAATAAAAACAAAAACCCTAAGACAAGAGGGAAGAAAGATTCAAAAGTGAAGTTTTCTCATTCTCTCACGACACATACTGCTGCCCAGGACCACACTAAGGCAGGACAGGGAATGGTATCTTGAATCAAGGACTGGAGCTGGATATTGGTTGTCCTGGACTTTGTTCTATTAGTCCCTCAATGAGCCTCTATGAGCCACTTTATTTATATCTAAATGTTCCATCCATTTCAGAAGTCTGATAATACAGAAATAATTTACAAAGAATTCTGAGATTTTCAAATTCAGGTGCCCAACAAATGCAAAGTGCTCCATGGTCAGTTAAAAGTAAGGCAAGCAGTTTTGAGAAACTTTGTTTTTTTTGTCTCAATAAACCTAATTTCTTAGTGATCCCTCTAACAATTGTGCACCTTTCTTAACAAAAATTCTGAGTGCCAAGGGCAATGTTTTTATGTTTGTTTTTGATTTTCTAATCTCCCCTGTTTTGGGGGGTTATATAACTTTCTGAAATGGTACTTCATGGTAACTTATCTTTTTTCTTTATAAGATCCAGGGAAAGCTCCTGAAACCAAAAAAGGAACTATAAAAGTTGCGGCACAAGGTAAGCAATAAAACACTTCTATTTCTTTTTTTATAAGAAAAGTACATGGCACTTTACTGACAAAAGCAAAAGCTGTTTATTGCAGAATAGCACCATCTGCTGGGTTATTACAGAAAATACTGTTGCATTACATACACATTTCGAGTATTTATTTTTTAGTAGTTGGAAGAACCATGAAGGACCCAAGAATTAGTATGTTGACTCCAAGTTTCAGTCATTGAGCTTTCACTTATATTTCTAAAAAAAAAAGCCAGAGATAGATTGATAGATGATAGATAGATTGATAGAGATATATAAATAATATACAATTTTTCCAATGTTTTCAGTTATACCTTGCAATTTGTGTCATATTAGAAAAATCAGTTGGACTGTTATTAAATTAATATTATTTCATCTATATTAAGACTGCACAAATTAATTTCCAGATATGATTACGAAGAAATCACCCTCGTTTGTATAAGCCATCTGAGAAAATCAGTTTCATCACTTCCTAATATCTTTGGGTCATCAAAAGTGGTTTCCTTTAAGAGAACTTTAGAAAAATATTGATTGGTTATTTTATTTATTTTTTAAAATTTTATTTTAGAGAAAGAGAGAGAGAGAGAACAAGAGGGAGGGGCAGAGGGAGCGGGAGAGAGACAAACTCAAGCAGACTCCCCACTGAGTGTGGAGCCCAACTCAGGGCTCTATCCCGGGACCCTGAGATCATGACCTGAGTTGAAACCAAGAGTTGGATGCTTAACTGACGAGCTACCCAGGCACCCCAAAATATTGATTCTTTTGGTCATCAGTTTGGGAAAAGTACTTATTTAAAATAATTTTCCTATAAAGTTATTTTTTATTTTTTTAAGATTTTATTTATTTATTTGACAAAGAGAGAGAGAGCACAAGTAGGGAGAGCATCTGAAATCACATCCTTTGAGAAAGCTATCCTAACTCCTGTGTGTCTCCAAGTGAACAGAATGGAATATGATTTATAGGACCCTTAATCTCAAACCATGAAAAGTAATTTGATGAAAATATAAGGGAAGGACAGAGTGTTCTGAACTTTGTCATCTATGAAAACTTTACAAATCACACTTAGGGAATAAAAGGCAAAATATTTAATAGAGGAAATTTTTTCGGGTTTTTAAGTTTTTATTTTAATTCCAGTTAGTTAACACACAGTGTTAGTGTTATATTAGTTTCAAGTGTATAATATAGTGATTCAACACTTCTATACAACACCCAGTGCTCACCATGACGAGTGCACTCCTAATCCCCATCACCTATTTAACCCATCTCCCCCACTCCTCCCCTAATAGAATCTTTGCTTTATTTCCTATGGTATATTATACAATATCTAGTGATAAAAGACATACATTTAGATGCTGTTACATTTGTTACTGGGCAGAAGACCCTTGTAGCAGACTCCTCGGCATATAACATATAACATGGTTGCATTTAACCTGGACTCAACCATGTGCAGAATCATCATATTAAATATTGTAAAATGGGTTGGCTGCGTTCCATTTGACCCAATGATGCTATGTACAAGCAATGCATATACTCAGGTGATTAGGAGCTGTGATACCAATTTTTAATTTTCATTTAATCATCAGGTTGTTAAAGAAAACAGATTCTTCTTTAGGAGAGTATAACGAGTATTATGGGCTGTAGAAAGGCAGAACAAATATTATTATCACTTTTGGGATTTTATTCATGAAAATGCAACTCAGAATCATTTCCTCAAGCAAATGGCTACCAGTTCAAAGAATCATTGTGGTTAATGAATATAAGCTCTCATAAACACACACACACACACACACACACACACACACACACACACACACACA